TATTTCGACTCGAGTTGCCCCCAATTCCAATAATATTTCAAGGCCAGAAATTAGAGCTTCATATTCAGCCTCATTGTTCGAACAAGTACCTTCTATCTTGTACTTGAATGTTGTTGGAATTTTTTCTGGAGAAATAATTAAGACCCATACTCCTGTTCCATCTTTATGGCTGGAACCATCGAAGTAAACTTTCCAGGGTTCTATCTCCAAGTAATTTATATTTTGTACCTGAATTGAGTGGTCGACTATAAAGTCTGCTACCACTTGTCCTTTTACTGCCTTGAGAGGCATAAAGGTTAACGAATACTCAGTTAATGCTAGCGCCCACTTGCCAATTCGACTGTGCAAGATGGGTTTCGAAAACATGTATTTGAAAACATCAGAATGGGACGAAACATACACATCAACTGGTTTTATATATTGTTTGAGCTTTGTACAAGAGAAATAAAGACATAGACATAATTTTTCAACTTTGCTATATCTAGTTTCTGCATCGTTCAAAACTCTTCTAAGGTAGTAAATGGGTCTTTCGACTCCATTTTCATCCTCTTGGGCTAACATGCTTCCCAAAGTTTTGTCGGATGTAGCTATGTACAATCTCATACTCCTATTTCTACAAGGAGGCACCAAAATAGGTGGCTTGGTGAGGTACCCTTTGATCTTGTCGAAGGCTTCTTGTTGCTCTTTCCCCCACTCGAACCCTTCCTTATTCAATCGAAGTAAGGGTGAGAAGGCTTGCGCTTTTCCACTTAGGTTAGATATAAATCTCCTTAAGAAGTTTATCTTGCCCAACAGAGATTTCAGTTCCTTCTTGTTCGTTGGCGCTTTCGCTTCCAAGATTGCCTTCGTCTTGTTCTGGTTGATTTTGATTCCTTTCTTGTGGACGACGAAGCCCAAGAAATCTCCAGCTTTCACACAGAACGCACACTTTAAAGGGTTCATCTTCAGACCATGCTTTCTCATTCTTTCAAATGATTGTCGAAGGTGGTCTATATGGTTCTTCCTGGAAACAGATTTTACAACAATATCGTCAATATATACTTGCATGAAAGTGTTAATAAAATCATGGAAGATAGAGTTCATTGCTCACTGATATGTTGCCCCAGCGTTTTTTAGGCCAAAAGGCATTACTACCCATTCGTAAGTGCCTAAGGCCCCAGGGCATCGAAAAGCTGTTTTCGACACATCTTCTTCAGCAATGAAAATTTGATTGTATCCTGAGTAACCGTCGAGCATGCTCAGGTACTCGTAGCCAGCGGCGGAGTCGACAAGCATTTCCGCCACAGGCATAGGATATTCATCTTTGGGTGTTGAAGCATTCAGATCTCTGAAATCTATGCACACCCTCAATGTACCATTTTTCTTAATAACTGGCACAATGTTTGCAATCCATTCGACGTACCTCGTAGTTCGTATGAATTTGCACTTCAGCAGTCTTTCGACTTCCGTTTTGATCTTCGACAGTATTTCTGGAGCGAAGCGTCTTGGAGTTTGTTTGACAGGCTTTTTCCCAGGTTTGATTGGCAACTAAAGTTCTACCAATCTTCTGTTGAGACCAGGCATCTCATCGTAATCCCATGCAAAGCAGTCCTTGAACTCCTTCAGTAATTGGATCACTTCGACCCTGAGCTCTGGGTCTATTTTGGAACTGATGTAAGTGGGTCTTTTATCTAACCCTTCGCCCAAGTCGATTTCTTCTAAAGGATCATGTGCTAACATTTTGATGTTGTTCGCAAGGGGGTCCTTTTCGAAACCCAAAGGCTCATCGTCGTTAATGGCGTCGAGCCTCTGTTCCTGCATTCCTTCTGTCGAGATATCGGGAGGTTCTGGGTCGAAATCTTTTCCAGGACCTATATCTGGTGGCTCTGAGTCGAAATCTTTTCCAGGACCTGCAGAAGGTAGTACTTGGTCATTAGCCTTGGTGGCCATATATTTTACTTCGGCTTCGAGAGCCGCTATCATTCTTGTTTCGGCTACGTAAGCCGAAATTCGCTATAACGCTTGCGACTCAGTCATTATCACTGAATTCACTTCCCCACGTTTGTTTGTGGGTTTTCTCCATTGTTTGGCGGATTCGCCATTTCTCTACTCCTTCTCCTAGTATTGGTTTCGTTGGTGTATATTCTACCACTTCTCAATAACATGCAATACTCTCGAAAAAGGAGTATATTTTATAAAAAAACGATTAAACTCGTAAAATCAACACAAGGTCCCACCAGGTGTGCCAATTTGTTTACCGTGAAAAATGGTAAACAACCGCTGATCTTCCAAAAGGTAACTTATTTGGTGACTCGCAGGATCGATCAGATTGATCCTAAGACATGGTTGATTTTTATCGTTTAAACGCTTTAAAATAGAGAGTTTCGACTAATTCTAATGGTGATTAACGCAAGTAAGGTAAAGACACTTTAAGTAAATTGCATGGAGAAAAGCTTGATAAAATAAATAAAAGCATTAAAGGCTTGTTAAATAAATGACTTCGACTGAGATAAATAAGTGAAAGCGATAAATTGCTTGAATGTAAAAGATTTCGATTAAGGTAAATGGTGTTTCACACATACATTCTCAATGATTCTTTCTCTCACGCTGGGTACTTGAATCTAAATGAGTGATTTGTATACAATGATGAACACCCTTAATAACTACGTGAACACTTAGTATTTATACTAAAAATCCTAAGTAACTGCTGGGCAGTTACATTGCTTCGTGGTGACACCACATGGCACGTTCACAACCTTCGACGCCTACTTCCACGCCACGTTGCGCTTTGTAACTGCTGGGAACCGTTTTCCCTCCAACAATTCGAAATTCGAACCGTTCGATCTTGGGCATCAAGGACCTTGGTCGAAAGGTTGCTCGAAAACAACATGATTTCTCTAAGTATCTTGTCATTTTTTGATAAGCCTTCGATGTGATCAGCTGATCGAAGCCTTCTTGCATAGGAAACTCTTCTAACTCATAATTAATGATCTATATGATAATAGAACGTGGGTGTCGAATTTATGAGCCAACAGTTGTGCAACCCTACCATATCTCAATCTTGATTGTCTGTCAGCCACAATTCTTGTAAATAGACAAGACAAGCATTACAAATGACTTTTGTACAAAAAAATAAAACATTGCAAACTGACTGTTTTCCAAAAGACATCAGTGATAAGTCTATGGGGCCTTTTCCAAAACACTGAGGTGCCTCTGTTTCCCCCTAGGCCTGGGATGACTTATTTTCTGCCTCTATTGTCCTCTGGGCCTATGATTCCCAGGTGGCGCCTCTGTCGCCTGGGCCTGGGATGCCTCAGGTGCCTCTAGTGGTTTAGGTACCTCACGTACCTCTGTTTCCTCAGAAACCTGAATAGGTGAACTCTGGCATCTACGTGAAAATAGAGGTTGGAATGCATGAAGATGGGACCATTTCCTGCTACAGGAAGACAAAGAAGTAGGCGGAGATACATGAGCCATGGAATCTGACGCCTCTGCATCAACAAGTCTAGAGGTAGAAGGAGCATGTGGTAGTTGACTATTTTCCCTTCAAATAGATGCATGTTGTGCAACCCTACCGTGTCTCAATCTTGATTGTCTGTCAGCCACAATTCTTATAAATATACAAGACAAGCATTACAAATGACTTTTGTACAAAAAAATAAAACATTTCAAATAGGCTGTTTACAGATATGCATCTTCAGTTTCTGGATAAATGTTAAAAAATTTCGGAGATGTATCTTCGAAAATTCCTACAATTTTAACCACCGTCAATGGCGGAATGTAGACCCATAAAACTTCAAAAATAATGCATTGATCATAAAAAATACATATCTAACTCGTTTCTCATTAGGTCTAAGCTATCAACCACCTAAAATCTTTCTATTTCATAACCTAAAAATCAACTTCTACACAATTTTACTTAAACTCAATAAAATTTACTAAAAACTTACAATTTATGTCTTGAAGTTGTTTGTTGTTAATCAATGTTGTTTGAAGTCGGATGTTTGATGATATTTGATGTTGTTTGATGAAGATTGAATATATTATGAATGAGTTTGAGATAATGGGCATATGGGGAGGGTTTGGAAAATGGATTTTGAAAGAGTTTGAGAATGTGAGAAAGGGGAAAGAGCTCTGACGCGTATTTATCGAGATGCATCTACGGAAGCCTTCTGGAGATGTATCTTTGACATATTTTTTTTGCATAAAATTAGGGCCTAGTAAAAATTCTATTGGATTTTGGTGTGTCCGGAGATGTATCTATGCAATGTATAAGTAGATATATCTCTGATAATTTATTTCCACTTATTCATGGTCTGGTTCACAAATATGTTGAAATTTAGTTCATCTAGAGATATATCTCCGAAATCTAAAAACATAAAAATATTTTTACTCGATGCGCCAAATGTGCAATTACGCTTCCTCCTTCATTGATTTAACATTATACAATGATTAGTTCATTTCTAAAAGCTACAATTGAAAAAAATTGTTAGGTCGACTAAGAATACTGAGCCTCACCTAGAGTATTGGATGTTATATTTTCCCGAAATTAGTCTATCAAACCTCAATCATCAACATAAACTAATTACCAACAAAATTAGTATATGAGAAACCTAAATTTTATAGTTAATTAGTTCTTGTATGATGCATTGGCGTGAGATTGAAACTTTATAATTTTGATTTGGATGACCACATTGCCTATTTGCTGGGTCAATATTCTTATCTACTAATGGACCTATTTTTTACTGTCATGAAGATACTGATTCTCTTCTCCCATTTGTTTGCTCCTGTGCTGCTGAGTTTCTTGGGCCAGTTATTTTCTGTGGTTCCTAAAGAGACATATCATTATAATTCTTCTTCATTTTCAGCAACAAGATTTTGATGCCAACTGGCACAACCCCATCTCATATTTCCCCTTCTGCTTATTTAAAACATCACACATTTGTTGCCTCTTTTAACATATCACCACCGTTTCCTTAAAGTCTCTATCTTTAAACTCCTCATACCAAAATCTATAAGAAATGGCATCTAGCTCAATGTCAGCATCTAGCTCATGGAGTGTTAAGGACAATAAAGCCTTTGAAAGAGCTCTAGCTGTTTATGATAAAGATGCGCCAGATCGTTGGTACAATGTAGCTCATGCTGTTGGTGGCAAAACTCCGGAGGAAGTTAGGAAACATTATGAACTCCTTGTTGAAGATGTTAAGCGGATTGAGTCGGGCAAAGTTCCGTACCCAAATTACAAGAAAAATTCAGTCTCTCAACAAGAGAAAAGGTATCATAACATAATCATTATTGTTAAATGTCACTTTTATGACTCTGTAACCAAATTTACTGTTTACTTTCATTTCTAGGATGAGGAACCTGAGCCTTCATTGACCAACAAATTGTCATCAACAACAACAAAACAGATTTACTTTTTTTGTTTGTTTTTTAACCAATCAACAAGTTTTCAACTACTGAGGAGGTGTTTTGTCTCACACAGTGATAATGTAATAGTAGCACTAGAAAATATGGCAACTGTTTCAGCTTCTTGTTCCGAATAAAGGTGTAACTCTTTTTTTTTTGGTTTATTATCATAACATACCGTATCATTTATTTTTTATTTTAGGATTAAATATGTTTTTTTTTCTTATAAAATTATCAAATTTTATTTTTATCTCTATTAAAAAAATAATATGTTTTAATTTTATAAAATTATTATACACATAGTTTTAGTCTTTGTTGTTAAATTAATATATATTTTTAATTATTATTTTACAGACATTTTTAAAACGTTATAAAAATTTCTTCAAAAAAAAAATTCTCAAAATTTAATTTCTAAATTGAAAATTTCATTATTTTTAAAAAATTTTAAAATTTATGTTTAATTTTTTTAAAACAAAAATTTAAAATTTAATAAAAAAACCTTTTATACTATTCTAAAAATATATGAAAAAACTTATTCAAAACTTAAAAATTTCAAAATAATTAAATAATTTCAAAAATTTTAAAAATAACAAAGATTAAAACTACACACATAAATTTTTTATAAAGGTTAAAATATATCATTTTTTATAAAACTAAAAATAATATTCAAAATATATTATTTTTTTATAAGACTAAAAATAATATTATTTTATGAAAACCATTTATCATTTAGATTTGTTCATTGTCAAATGTGTGTTTTGACTCAAATACCCCGATTTCCAAACTCAATACTCACAATATCCACATTCCATCATAAATTTCAAACTATTTCTTTTTCATATATTTTTTATTATAATGTCGTCAATAGTATTGGTACATCCTAGACCCAAATAGTCCAAAAGCTTTCTCCTAATTGTAGTTTTAATTGTTTTATTTTAATTAATTAACTTTTTAGGTATTATTTAATACAACTTTTTCATAAGAAATCTGTAGATAAAATAATTAGTAAAAAAATTAATTTAGCAAATTAATAAAATATTATTTGAATATAATAAAAATTGTATTGTTTTTTTATATTATTGATGTGGTTCATCTAAGTCTTGGTTAGTTTTGTCGTGGTGGTTAAGAAGAAGTCCATGCGCCATCGTTTGAATAAAGAATCTCTTGAAGTGTGTTAAATTCCATATTTGTCGTTGTGCTATTGTAATTTAATTTGTTACCCATGAGGAATACCACTAATTCGTTGAAAATGAGCTTAAATGTGGAATATCAGTTTCACACAAAAGTTGATCGCGTGCTACCCATAAAAAATATTATATGGAACACTTGATTGATTATAATATACAACGCTCATATTAGTTGAGGTATGTGGTTATTTGTCGTAATAAGTTTTGCAAGTTTTGTCTAGAAGCATCTTATAGAAAGAGAAGTGATACTTGGGAGATAGGTTCTATGGATACAACTCATAGTTGTAATACCACCAATCTTTTACAAGTTCATCGAAAACTAGGCTCTCAAGTAATATGACAAAATAATATGCCTCTTATGGGTAAAGATATGCTAGTCAAGGTGAGTACCATAATCGCTCATATTGTTTCCCAATCAATTTACATTCCCTCGTAGAAAAAAGAAAGGACCGTGAGGAGTAAGGCAGATAAACAGGTTTACGCTAACTGAGAAACTTCATATAATGAAATTTCACATTATTTGTTGGCACTTCAGAGATATGTTCTCGGTATAGTGGTTGTATTGGAGACATGACCAACTATGGAGCTAGGTGCTTACAGGTATAATATTTGCATCAATAAATTGATCTATATGGTTTTGATGATGACAACACTATGAGGTAAAGTCTTCATCTGAAGTGATGATCAATTTGTTGTGCTTAGAGATCAAGATGTCAAAGTCAATCTTTGAATGATAACGCATAATGTCAAGTGACATCCGGTGGACTCTCTAATAATCTCAATCAAGAAATCTCTCTAATAATGGTATATATATATATATATATCAAGAAACTTGTCAAGCCTAATCAGATATGAGAATTCGACTCCTATATGAAGTGGTAAATCATGGATGTATCAAGCAAGGGATTTTGAATCTTCAGAGATATGAAAGAGAAGAAGTGTGAAATCTAGTCTTATCTGTATCAAGTGATCTGTATTCGTAAAGGTATAAAATTATTTCTTGAATTACTAAGGAAAATCAAGCACACACATTTTCAAATGATCGAAAAGCCTCACTAACTTTGGTAAAATTATCTGAAATACTTTTTGTACCTAGCTAATAGATTAGAGACTCATTATGATCAATTAAGAAGATTTTAACATGGAATAATTGATTAGCATTTTAGCGATAATCAATCATCACTTTCGTAAACCTCATAATCTATTATAGAAAAGTCATAATCGATTAGTGACAACGCCATTTAAAAAAAAATTATATTTGAACCAAATAATTGATTATGTGATATGCATAATTGATTATGAGCATTAAAAAAACTCATGGACTATTTCCATTTTTGAGACACACTTTGTAATATAAATAGAGAGCTTATTTCTCGTTTCATTCACACATAAAAAAAGCATTTTGAATACACTTTCTCACTCTCCTCTCTCTCTCTCTCTCTCTCTCTCTCACTCACTTTTGCCTTAGTGCATTGAGAGTGAAATTTTCCTGTGAGCTGTTTGATTCTGGTGTGGGGGAAATTTTTAATATCTCTTTTCATATTATTTGTTATTTGGTTTTGAGATAAACCATGGTAAAAATCTCTTATTTGGTTTGTGAGGTTGTTTGTTAAAATCTCACTCTTGGTTCGAGAGCTTTGCCTATTATAAAATCTCTTGTTTGGTTCAAGAGATTGTCCATTAAAACATCTACTTGGTTCTTGATCTAAGATGGATATAACATCTCTCATTCTGTTCGTTATTAGCCTTATACAAAATCTAGTGTTTGGTTTAGAGAATGGCTAGTGTAAAATGAAGATGTGAAAAACACAAGAAGGGGGGTTGAATTGTAAAACTTTAAATCAAATGCAGACAACACGGTATTTTTATCCTGGTTCGTTTGATCTCAAACTACTCCAGTCCACCCGTCAAGGTGATTTCGCCTCTCTCCAACGAGGTCTTAATCCACTATATTCAACTGAATACAACAACTACTTTAACAACTGTTAAAACCTTCTTGAGTCTAACCACAAACCGGTTTATCTCAAGGAAATTCTCTTACAGATAATTGAACAAAAAGTGTGTTAATGTTTTCTAACAAAACTATATATCACAACTGTGATAATACACAATATTAAGCTTAGAATAAAAACTAGACTGCTAATGCTTTTGAGTAGGCGTGGTTGAAAGCTTTAGCAATTTGAATGAGAGAGTTCGTTTACGTAAGCGTGTATATGCGTGAAGATATAGGCCTATTCTTTTCTCACACAGACTTATTTATAAAGCCAAGGCAAAGATACGTTGGTGTCCATAAATCACTTTCAATGACCATAACGTTCTTTCCTTTTTGAGAAGATCTTGTCTTGGATAAAGCCGTTGGTAATTAATCTGTCTTGAATGCTAGTAACGCTTCAGAATGTTCTGCTAATGATAGCGCTTCAGAATGTTCTTTGCTTTAGCCTATGCTAACGCTTCTGAGTGTTGATGACTTGCTAAAGATCTTAATCAGAGTCAGAGTATTTTATGCGCAAATTCTGGTCATCAAGCTTCAGCGTATGATCTGGTAACTTCAGCGTGTAGCACATGTTTGATCTTCAGATGCTGACATATCTTCTGATGCTGATGTTGATATTTATCTTCTGATGCTGATTCCATCATAACTTCTGAAAATACACAACATAATTTTAAGTAGCATATATGTCATATGTATAAATCTTATAATTTATTTATTCTTGTATTTTGTTATCATCAAAACTCTAATTGAGGGTTGTAGAATCAAACTATGTTCTAACAATCTCCCCCTTTTTGATGATGACAAAAACCAGATTTTTTCAATTAAAATTAAAGAATAAAAGGTATTAAAGATAAACAAATAACGAATAAAAGGTATCAGAGATTAAAGATAAGGAATAAAAGGTATCAGAGCATCGAAGAGAAAAACTCCCCCTGAGTTGATTACTTCCCTTTATTTCCATGAGACTTTGAGCATCAGAACTTTATTGATCTTTCTTTGAGCATCAGAACTTTTGTTGTATCAGAGTTCATCAGATTCATCAGATTTTTGTACCTGTAAGCTTTTCAGAAGAAAGAAATTCAAATAGATCAGAATGTCAAAATGTTTGAGACTTATGTCTCAGTAATCCGTTATTGAAAAATATCATTCTTTCTCCCCCTTTTTGTCAGTTATTAAAAAGCACAAATAATCAGAGTGAAAATATTCAGAGTTGAAAATGCATTTGTATTAAAAACAAAAGCAATGATAAGTTCAGAACAAATATTACAGATAAACAAGTTATAAAAATAGCAAGGATATTTCTAAGAAGGAGGAGGAAGTCGTGTGAACAAAGCCTCCAACATGCTCTTGATTTGTGTGTTGGATTCCTGTTGCTGAGATAACATGTTCGCTATTGCATCAATTTTGGTGTCCTGCTTATCCATTCTTTCATTCATCAGCATATCAGATCTTTTCAAGTCCTCCAGAGTCTGCCTGTCAAGAGAGGGAGCTTGAGGATCTTCAGAAACAGGGTGCTTCTTAGAGCTTTCTGTAGTATCTTCTTCTTGACCCAAGTCTTCAACTTGAATTATCTGTTCTTCTGCAGGTTGAACTTTGGATGCTGGACGCTGTTCAGACCAAGGAGCAATGTCCATATGGAGAACTTCTTCCTTAAGCAGCTTTCTCAGAACTGGATCTTCAATTTCTTTCAGTAGATTGCTGAAGTTCTGTTGAGCTTGTCCGTAGCTCTGGTCTTGCAATCAGGTCTTCAGTGATAACAATCTTCTTCCCCATAATATAAAACGTAACTT